ATTTCTGAAATGATATTTATTTTTTAATTCCAGATTTATTTGAATATGCGTCTTCGCTCAACAGATGGTCAGTCTACACTCTCTGTTGTAATTACACTTGTTGGTAAAACATTGGATTTCTTGCCAAATTACCTTCTGCTTTTGCCAGCACAATACGTTGTCATGACCTATTTTTCATGTACCATGGCTTTTATCAATGGAATACAGGTAATTTTCTATAAATGAAAAGGCATGTCTTACAGAAAAACGTAAGATGAGTGAATCACTTAAGAAAAAAATCTAATAAACTGAAAAAAAAGTAGGGTTGGGAAAACAAAAACTTGAAACTTTGCGAATACAAAGCTTATTCAAGTAGGGTTATCTTGCTGATTTGCCATTCTGTTTTGAGCTTTACCATAAAGTTTCTACGCTTTTAAAACATTGTGACATACTGACTTGGGTGGTTGTTTTTAATTCGTATGAGACAACTTGATTCTGGAAGATGTTTGACCGCTGTGCTCCTCACGAGACACTCTTCTGTAGAGCTAAAAGAAAACAACCGCAGTTTACGTAACATCAATCTTCTATCTTTTTCTTTTTTTTTTTCGGAAAAATAGGTTATCTGGTACCCCAAGCTGCAACCGAAAAAAAGTGCTGTCATGAACACAACATACGGCAGCTTCAGAAGTCCGAACGAGGATGCCCTGGAAGCAAATGACTGCGAACAAGTTCCTCTGATGGCTGACGAGGAAAGCTCAGTGGAAGATGTCGACAGAGGATCTGTAGAAGAAATGGCCTCCATTTGCACATTTGTTGTACCGAATTTCGAATTTCGTGCAAGGTTGCACGATATTCCGCTCTATCAGCGGGGTTTTATATTTCTTCTTATGCTGGCTGTGGTGGTTTTCAGCGTGTGCATTTGCGTGAACACGGAGTCTGCGCTGGGAATTTTCGCGCCAATTTCGGTCGCAGTTTTTCTTTTTGGTGCGTTTTTGTATCGAAATTACCGCGAGGGCCGGTTGCAGTTCG